TTATATAAGTTATATATAATATAGCGATAAAAAACATCATCATTAAAGTGATTGAACGCCAAGAGTTTTTAATTGTTAACAACTGCTCCCATGTTTGCCAATAGTGTACTCTCACCGGTACTCAACGCATACTGTTTTACAAATAGTACAGTACTTTATTAGCAATAATGTACTTTCCTATTGTAAATCAAACAAGATTAAAAATCTATTTTTTTGTAAATCATATGCTTTTTCATTAAATAGGACGACTGGCGTTGAAATACAGGAATAATTTTATTGTTGTTCATTCGCTGTCTATTTAAACAGTAGTCTATTTACACTGAATGTTGTATTAAATCACAAAAATTAAGGTCTTTTTGGTTAGATTTTGGTCGAAAATTAATTAAACAAAAATTATTTGTTTAATTCTTCGTTATCCAACTTATGGGTGCATTTAAGTAAACATTAAATTTAAGTTTAAGTACAATTATAGCCCTTATTATGGAAACAAACAATTTTTATTATCAAATTTAATTGTAATCATAAAAGCGCTTAAAATCGTTATATTTAATCATTAAATGCATTTTAATGTAATTTATAATAAATTAAAACTACATTTTATGACTGTTATATTCAGGGCAACTAATGTTAATTAATAGGGACTTTGAGTTGCGATGAATTGCAAGAATGGATAACTAATTCATAGCCACAAATGAAATGCCAATTAAGGATAGCTTTTACACTGGGATTATGTCTTGTGTCTCAATACTAGACACACAAACACTGTATAACATTATAACTGGTTTAACCTAATTATCAATTGAGTCGAAAGTTTTACAAAAGTTTTACCGTTAGTTTGATTGTAATTTAAGTGTATTTATACCTATCGTTAATGTCGTATAACTCTCTCTAATCGTATAAATAGATTGAAATGATTGTTCACGAGAAACGAAAAATCAAAAATAAAATACTAAACACTAATAATAGGGACTTATAATTGACAATAACTTTCATTCGTCGCCTCATTTCAATGGTTTGGAAATAACTTTTAATTTTATCGTTTGTCGCGAAGCGTTGATAATATAGTAATTAAATTAATTGTATTTCAAACACTGTTTTCTTATAACTAATGTTAATCATAATTTACTGTACACTGTATACTGTATAGTGAAAGGTTTATACATAGAGTAGTGAGAAAAACAATACAAACAATAATTGTTATAATTGTCTCATTGATTGATCATTAGATATATTGACGAAAATATAAATATTTCCTTAAAATGAGAAAGTTTTCACTCAATTACCGTATTATCTGTTAATTTCTATAAATATTTATAAATTTAGTAAACTTTTCCCTTTTTTTATCTTTTTGAACCATCGATTCACTGATTTTTGTAACAATTATTTTTTGTATTTCTCTTACATAATAATTTATTATTTTCGTACAAATATTTATTATTTAATTAACGGAATGCTAAAAGTAATTTATTAACTCGTTTATAAAATTTACATTTTCTCTCTTGCTCTCTCTCTCTCTCTCTCTCTCTCTCTCTCTCTCTCTCTCTCTCTCT